TTTATTGGCATAGTGTTGCTTGTAGTAATCTCTCATGCCCCTTTGTATTTCTGCAGTGTCAGTTGTTACTTCTCCTTTTTCATTTCTAATTCTGATGATTTGAGTCTTCTCTCTTTTTTTCTTGATGAGTCTGGCTAATGGTTTATCAATTTTGTTTACCTTCTCAAAGAATCAGGTTTTAATTTTATTGGTCTTTGCTATTGTTTCCTTCATTTCTTTTTCATTTATTCCTGATCTGATCATTATGATTTCTTTTCTTCTGCTAAGTTGGGGTTTCTTTGTTCTTTCTCTAATTGCTTTAGGTGTGAAGTTAGGTTGTTTATTTGAGATGTTCTTGTTTCTGGAGGTAGGATTGTATTGCTATAAACTTCCCTTTTAGAACTGCTTTTGCTGTCCCATAGGTTTTGGGTCGTTGTGTTTTCATTGTCATTTGTTTCTAGGTATTTTTTTATTTCCTCTTTGATTTCTTTAGTGATCTCTTGGTTATTATGTATTGTCTTGGTTAACCTCCATGTATTTGTATTTTTTCCAGATTTTTTTCCTGTAATTGATATCTAGTCTCATAACATTGTGCTCGGAAAAGATACTTGATACAATTTCAATTTTCTTAATTTTACAGAGGCTTGATTTGTGACCCAAGATATGATCTATCCTGGAGAATGTTCCATGAACACTTGAGAAGAGACTGTATTGTATTGTTTTTGGATGCAGTGTCCTATAAATATCAATTAAGTCCATGTTGTTTAATGTATCATTTAAAGCTTGTGTTTCCTTATTTACTTTCATTTTGGATGATCTGTTCATTGTGACTTGGTTGTAGATATTGGAATTTGATAACGTGTTTACATGACAATTATGTGATATAGTATGATTTGGTTTCCCTTCCTGCACAGCTTTTGTTTTCTTTGATGTTTCTAGTTTTCTTTCCTGCCCCCCAAATTATATATGTTTACTAAACTTTTTAAAAAAATTTTAACGTGCCTCAGTATCTTTTTTTCTTTTAATTTTTATTCATTTATTTATTTATTTATTTTTGGCTGCATTGGGTCTTCATTGCCGCACGTGGGCTTTCTCTAGTTGCGCGAGTGGGGGCTACTCTTCATTGTGGTGCATGGGCTTCTCATTGCGGTGGCTTCTCTTGTTGCGGAGCATGGGCTCTAGGTGTGTGGCTTCAGTAGTTGTGGCACGTGGGCTTAGTAGTTGTGATTCGTGGGCTCTAGAGTGCAGGCTCAGTAGTTGTGGCGGATGGGCTTTGTTGCTCTGCAGCATGTGGGTTCTTCCCAGACCAGGGCTTGAACCCGTGTCCCCTGCATTGGCAGGCAGATTCTTAACTGCTGTGCCACGAGGGAAGTCCGCCTAAACTTTTTATGTTATTCCAGATTATCAGGAATATCATTAACTCCTGACCTCCTTTATCTCTAAATAACTTCTCTTCTGGAACTTCTGTTCTCTGAAGCATTCTGTATTGAATGTTTTCTGTTAGCTTCCTTCCCTGCTTTCTATACTTGGAGCCACTTTTTTTTCCTAGTTCCCATGTTGTCTTCTTTCATGTATTACTACCTCATTTTGCTGATACACATCCTCAAGTATCTTCCTAAGAAAGAATATATGGGAAATAAATTTCCCAGATCTTACCTGAAGATCACAGCTGAAAATATTGTTATTCTACCCTCAGATTTGATTGTTTAATTTTAAAAAAATGTCTTCTGTCCTATTCTTGTGTTGTTCTTTCTGCTCTTAGGATGCATGCTGTTTTTCTTGATTGATCTTCTGTGTCTTATTTTTTTATGTCTCTTTCTGTACTATACTCTGTGAGACTTTATTTTGTCTTCTAATATTTATGCTGAATTTTTAATTGTTACTTTCAACTTACAGGAGCTCTTATTTACTTGTTCATTTGTTCTTCTATGGGTCTTCCCCACCCCCACCCCCACCCAGCATCTTGTTTTTGTTTTATGGGTATATTGTCACTTGAGTCTTTCTGAGGATACTAATTAGTTTTTTTTTTTTTTTTTAAGTTCTTCTTAAGAACTTAAGAGAGAGAGTTAAACTGACTAGACTTCATATGAACTCAGGGATAATTCAGTGAATTTTGTACTTCTTTTAAGGCTTAGTTACTCAGTTCAAGAAATGTGAGTTTTTTCAGGGAGAGAAGACCAGCATGAAGGGTTAGCTTGTCTCCAGAATAAAGTCAGAGCTCCCTGATATTCAAGACCCTTTGCAGTCCAGTCTGCAGGCTCACCTCCTGCTCATTCGTCTTCCTGGCTGCCCTGTGTGTACACCAGACTGCTCTGTGTCCTGTGCTGCCCGACCTTTGCTCATGCTGGGTCCTCTGCCTGAAATTTTCTGTTCTTCCCACAGCCTCTTAACGTTTACCAGAGGCAGGCGTCGTATTTTCAGTTCTCTATTTTTGTGTCATCTGTGGCAGGTACATTTTAGGCATTCAAAATGTTTAAGTGAATTTTACTCATCCTTCCAGATGAGAGCAACTTCCACTGTGACCACTCAGAGACACAGTCCTTTACCTCCCTCGAACAGAGTTAAGCATTTCATGCCCTGTTTAGTTAGTTGTATGCAGGCCTATTTGTTCCGGTAAGTTCCCGAAGGGCATGGACCATACCTTGCCAAGCTGGATATCCCAGGGTTTTGCATTGTGCTTGATATCCAATGGGAACTTGAAGTATTTGTGCATATATGGGGAGAGACAGAGGGAAGGACTGGCTGTGTATTTTTACTAAACGCGTATTTATAAGATTAGCAGGTTTGCAGATTCACTTCACGATGGTGCCGTTTCCTCTTCCTTTTCAGTATATCAAAGCATTCCCAAGAGTACATTAAGAGTAACTTACTGTATTACTCATCACAATAGATATGTACACAGATGCGTATCTTCAGCAAAGAGAAAGAAATTGAACAAATAAGAAGTGATAAGCGCTCTCTAAATTTAGCCAGGGGTTAGAACTTTGAAGCTGTGCGTATTCATAAAATGAATCCCTCTAGTCGAAGCCCCTGCTCAGACTGACAGTAAGCGTAGCTTCCATTGCTAATAAATAAGTAAGTAAGCTCTTCTTTCATTTTAATTCTGCTACTTCCGACTGTGGAACCAATATTGTTGTTTTATCTGATGCTGAATCTCTGACCTTATGAGGCTCAGGTTGGCTGCAAGTGCCGTAGCCCATGAGGTCAGCAGTGCCCACATCACCACACCCAGGGGTTCTCATTGAGGAGTCTTACTTCCAGTACACAGCTGAGCTCTGACGACTTGGAGTAAAAGGAAATTTTGAGTAGGAAATGAAGGAGCCCCAGCACCCACCTTAGACTGGGGAGCCAGGCGTAGGATTCCAGGTGGCCCTGAAGGCATCTGCAGGCTGGGTGAGGGAAGCAGCCATGCTCTCCCAGCAGGAAGGGGTGGATGAGCACCCCACCACCTGGTGACCATCTGCTAGTTCCCTCTCGTGTCCACTGTCAGAGGCTCAGGTGCGTGGGGTCCATCTGGCTGAGGTAAGGTCTCTCTTGGCGGGGTGGGGAGCCACTGCTACAGGCCCTTGAGCTGTCAACTTTCCTGGTGGCCAAAACCACCAAGCAGAGACATCACCTTTCACTAAGATTGCTCACACTCGAAGGGGCTGCAGCAGATTGTGAGGGCACAGTGAGGTAGGGACCGTCCTTTTGGACCACCAGAAAGGAACAGGTATCCAGGTACGCTGTGTAGCTGGAGCACTACAGAGAGTCTTCTCAAAGCTGGTGGCAGCTAAGCTGCCCACTCAAATCTAAGAGCTTTCGAATGTTTGCAAGTGTTAATAAACAAACCAAATGTCGGAAAAAAGAGTAGATTATGGTATTTAGTTATTCCTCCTGCCTCTCCTTCCTCTATTTCTTCCCACATAGATAGGAAAGGATGGTTACCCATATTGTGCATAAACTCTAAATGCTGTACTAGAACAAAATTAACCTCCCAATTAAATGAGGACATTACATGTCACCATTATTCCACTCCACATAGTGTACATATATAAACAAAACCCCCTCCGGTTTACAACAAAAGAAGGGTCGGTATGTGTGTTCTTTCATTCCTTTTTTTTGGTCGGGGGGAGGTGTGGAAGGGGTGATTATTCTGTGGAGAGGAGAGAGCCAAGCCAAAATAATGATTATATTTAAGTTCTGGATGTTATTTGCTTAAGGTCTTGAAAAGAAAAGAGGGACACTTGATTTCCTGAGCACAAAAGGTATCGAAGACTTTTGATCTTTAAAAATGTGGAAAGTGTTGAGAACACGCTAAATAGCCCAACATATCTGGCTTACTTAATCCCCGCATCACAAGTGAATGGTGGGCCGGTGCTCCATGAAAGAGCTCTGAAATGTGCTTTCTGTGGCTCCATGATTTCAAAATCAGTAAGAAAGTTTTTGTCATTGCCAGCAACTTGATCAGGTTCTATGGAGTCCTAGCATTAGGAAGGTCTAAGTCGCTTCTTTATGGAGAGGAAGGCTCTCTGGTGTGTGTATTCCAGGAGGCAGCCTGCTGTCCCCTTGCCTTTCTAAGAAGGCCTCCTCCAAGGGTCAGCAAATATTAATCAGGGTGAATAAGGCCAGTTTGTAGCTTCTGCCCAAAAGACTGACAGGGCCAAGATGCTGGATGGAGCCCAGAAGAAATTACTTTTGGATTCTCTCTGGCTCCACATTACCAGCATAATCTCACGGAGATGAAAAATTAGGACTTGAGTATGTCTTATGGAAATCACTGGATTTCTGCCGAAAACGTTGGTTGGTTGCTTAAGCATGCTTCCTTTGGAGTACAGAAACCTCAGCATTTGCATTCCAAATATTCAGTTCTAAAGCTCTGTTCTTCTGTATTCCTCAGAGGGCCATTTTGGAGGGAAACAAAAATACCTGGATTGGTTATTATTTATGTCCTCATTGAATCTCAACTAATGTCTTGCCTCATATGCCCTTTTCTTTTCTCTTTCCCCTTCTGCATCTTTTTTTTTTTTTTTTTTTATCAGATACTAATTTTGTGTTGGGGAATGCCCAGATAGTGGACTGGCCTATCGTGTACAGCAATGATGGATTTTGCAAGCTGTCTGGCTATCACAGGGCGGAAGTGATGCAAAAAAGCAGTACCTGCAGGTATTTATGTTTGGGGTTCTGTTCAACACTCTATCATGGTATCCTTTTGGAAAAAGAAACTGGCTTACTCAGCTTGGGAATTTCCTTTCATTCAGCGTTCATTCAGGAATATTTATTGCACTGTCATCTCTAGTTCACACACTGTACTGGGAAAATCAAAGAAGATCTAAAACATAGTCCCTACAGCTAATGAATTTACAGTCAGTGAGATGGGAGAAAACCTAGAAAAACTCAGGAAAATCATTTTATCAATAAAATGTGAACTCAAAATTTTATGAGGGTTTAGGTGGAAATTATGTGAAAGAAGATTAAGTGAAATCAAATGAAAATGAAATGGATGATTTTAGATGATTAAATTAATTTTAAAACATGTATGGCCGTTTTTTAAGAATAAACAGCATGTTGGAGACAAGGGCCTTGTTCATAGGGCTTTGCATCAGAAAACGAGAAGAGAACCATGTCTTGCTGCCTTGCTGCTGTCACATCTCTCTCTGATCACTGACTCAAAGGCAGAAGCAAAGGGTGCTGTGCAGCTTGTGCATTTGACAGGGTTCCTAACCAAGCAGCGCCCTTGGGCCGTGGCACTAGAAAAGCTCTTTTAGAGCATCTTCAAGGTGTCCTGTGGAGCGTGTGACCCGGACCCTGCGCTGCCCCAACAAGGTCCTGGCTCCACAGCCTTTGGCGCCTCTCACTCCTCACCTTCCTCAGAGTCTTCTGTCTTCAGTGGTGTTCGCATGCAGTGGAATCATTTTCCTAAACCTGCTACACCCAAAAGTGAACTCATCTCCAAAGGGTGGAAAATCCCATCCGATCCAGTCATAGTCTTTGGTTCTCAGAAGTTTCATTTTCTTGATATTAAATCAGCCAAGTAACTCATTTGGTGAAAAGTATTAAATGTTTTGAAAATATTATCATTTTCTTAAATTTTAGGTTTTTGGGACTGGGAAATGGAAAATTTAAGATTCCCTCAAAGGAGAGGGGTGGGATAGGGAGGGTGGGAGGGAGACGCAAGAGGGAGGAGATATGGGGATATATGTATATGTATAGCTGATTCACTTTGTTATACAGCAGAAACTAACACACCATTGTAAAGCAATTATACTCTAATAAAGGTGTTAAAGAAGATTCCCTCAAAGGTTTAAAAATTATGACTCAAGTATTACGATAGAATTCTCTTATATTCTTTGTGTGCTGTTATCCTCTTAAGTATCTGTGTATCTGCATCTATGTCTCCATCTGTACGTGCACGTACACAATCAGAGCACACTGGGAGAGTGAGCTTCGCTTTTTCGTGTGACTTGAGCAGCCTTTCCTTACCTTTCTTGCTTCTTATTGGCTATAATCAGACACTTTAAGAAAATCAGATAAGAGAACTGGATAATTTAGCCAACTTTCTTTTACGCGCAACTCTAAGAAACTTATTTAATTCCCTGAAGGTGTCCCTTCTCTAGAAGGAAAGTAAACATGCCTTTGTGTTAGCCACATCCCTAATTGCTCAGGAGCCTTTTGGCTTATTTCTTGCATTGCAGGCATCTGAAATCTAATGTCCAGACAAAGGAAATGTACACCTACCACTAAACTACAACTTGAAAAAGTACATAAGAGTAAGGAAAGCTGGGCATAATTATGGCACTTCATTTATTTGAAGACTCCACTTTGCAGGGATTGGTTTTACCTTGTGAAGGAAATTGCTAGCCTATACACCATCACATAAGTTGAGGTCACTTATCTAGCAAATCTTTTCAGAAAGGGAAAGTGAGAGGAAGCTAAAAAGGCCTTAGAGCAAAACCAGCTAAGTAAAATGGTTATAGAGCTTAAGTTTTTACCTCCTGGGAGAAAGAAATCCTCATGTTCTCAGGCATGGCTAATTTAGTCTTGATCTATCCTTCTTTTTAAAGGTAATTCACCATGCTCAATTATCTGTTTTCCTGGTTTATAGACGAAGAACACAGCCCCAAAGCAGAGTACTACATGAGATGGGCACACGGGGAACCACAGATAATAGTATCTCTCAGTGGGCTGGGAAGGGACGTGATAACAAAAGTGACACAGAATTCATAAAGTCAATAGCTAGGGCACTTTTCTTGCAGGGTGCTGGAAAGTGGAAGCTCACAGTAAGCCCACGGCTGTTCCAGTATCACGCTGAGCATGGCGCTTGACTCTGTGGTTCAGGAGTTGTGCTTGATAACTTCTGAGGTTCTTGTTCTGAAATTCTGTGATTCTATGATTCAAGTCATCAAGAAAAATCTAAATTGCACAGTTAGGTATGCGCAGTTTTAGAAGATGGGTTGTGTATTGTTTGGGAACCCACGCCGCTGCTTCTATATATTACATAAGCCTTGAGGACTGAGCATGGCTGTCTTTCCTTGTGGGTGTCGTCCGAAGGCCTGGGGTGGGCAGGGGACATGCTTGGGGGGGTCCATGGGCAGCCTTTGTTGGAGGACTGGCTTTTCCAGCCCCACTGAGGGATGGTTTCTCTCCTCTCACGTTTTGTTAGTGTCGCTCAGCCTAGTTGTTGGGAATGTTATCCCATTCCTAGAGGGGAAAACCTTGGTCTTCAGACCATATTCAGTGTGCGTACCCAAGAAAATGGACAGTCCTGGCAGTTTTCCTGCCTCTGCTGAGAACCAGTATTAGTAGGCAGAAGCTTCTACTATCCAGAGGTTTTCTCTAATTTTTTTTCAGGCTGCTTATTTACCCTGTTAGTTTACTTTTCTCCAAATTGTGAGGAGTGTGGAGAAGTATTAGAAAGAATTTGTAGAATTTTATCATCTTGATTTATTCAACCCAGAGCTCTTTTTTCTGTTTTAGCTGTGGGGTAGGAAAAAGAGCTGCACAGACAGTGGCTGAATCTTCTGTTTGCTGAATCTTTTCTTTCCTTAGCTACAGTATGTCTTGATGTTTAGAGCATCAACTTGCACCCTTTTTCTTGTTTGGTGAGTTTTTGTGTTTTTTTTTCCTATTCTTTTGTTTAATTTGTTAGGAATTAGAAGAGGAAAAATCTGTGGTCCAGATTTATTCTGCCATCCTTCTCAGGACGTCTCTCAGACTTGTATTTCTAAAATGCAGATCTCATTATGTAACTCTTTTGCCTGAAACCCTCCAGGGGCCCTCCCTGCATTGCTTTGGGGATAAAGTTTAAATGACTTCACCTGACCTGTAATGCCATGATCTCCATGATGTGGCCCCTGCTTACCGCTCCATATTACCTGTTGCTAATTTTACCCTTACTGTCTACATTCCAGACATATGGACCTGAACTGTATTCAGGTTCCAGAATTAAGCTTCCTCTCACCTCTGTGCCTTTGCACATGCTTATCTTTTGCCTAGAATGTTCCTTTCCCTCCTTTTCTCAGCAGATTTCCACCTGCTCTTTAGATCTTTTTTGTTCTTGCCTCTGGGAAGCCTTTTCTGACCACTCAGACAGTGCTCTGTGCCTATTCTTAGTGTTGTAATTCCTCATGTGTTGGTCATACTGTTCTCTAATCTACGGTTTTCTGATCTACTGTTTTCTAGTGTGTCTCATTAGACTGTCAGTTTTGGGGGGACAGGGGTGGAGTCTTGATTCCAGCTCAATCAGTGAATCATTTTTCATTGAACAAATGTTTTCATGTGTGTGTGTGTGTTCCACAGTGCATAGCACAGTGCTGGGTATAGAGCAGGTAAACAGATGCTTGTAGAATAATAAATACTTGTTCATCTCACTTGGGCTGTTTGGTTGCTTTGCAGTTTTATGTACGGGGAGCTGACTGATAAAGACACCATTGAAAAGGTGCGGCAAACATTTGAGAACTATGAGATGAATTCTTTTGAAATTTTGATGTACAAGAAAAACAGTGAGTACTCTCAGACCATTCTGAACCATACCTTGATGTGCTTGGAGTAAATTATCTGCCCTTTCTCTGTTGCTGTCTTAGGTTTTCTTTTCTCCCATCAGCTAAATGTTGTTCCTTGACGCCAGTGTGTATGTTGGGGTAAATGGTATGGATTGATGAGCTACAGTTCTTCACATGAGCATTTGTACTTGTCACTAACCAATTAAGACTTCTTGATCTCTTTTCTGCCCAGAGTTAGTGTTTTTCCTATTGGTATCCTTATGTTGAGTTGTTGGCCTAAGGCACTTGTAGACTTTCAGGCTTCTTAGGTGGAGAGGGAGGAGGTGGATTAGAATCTCTGTCCAGTTCACATTTGTATCTATCTCCCTATAGCACTTAGCACAGTGGGTAACACCAGTAGATGCCCAATTAAGAGTTTCTAAATAAAATTTTGTTTCACTGGTGACCCCAATTTTCTGTCAGAGACAGTATTAATCAAATTAATACTGTAATCACTGTTAGTCAAAATGTATTGTTAATTGGTATTTGTTTTGTGTATAATAACTTCCACAAGTATATTAATGAAGAATCTAGGTCAATAGCTATACACAAGTATAGAACTTGCTTTCTCTTAGCAGTTTCCTGTTGAATGGAGATTAATTGTATTGGAAGTATGGAAAGTGGGCTGTATGGAAACATAGCCATAGCAGGGCTGCAGAGGTGTTGAAGAGTGCTTTGTTTTTTAAATTAAATTAAATTTTTATTTATTTTTTTATTTTTGGCTGTGTTGGGTCTTCGTTGCTGTGCTCGGGCTTTTCTCTAGTTGCATCGAGTGGGGGCTACTCTTTGTTGCGGTGCAAGGGCTTCTCTGGCTTCTTTTGTTGCAGAGCATGGGCTCTAGGCACGCAGGCTTCAGTAGCTGTGGCACGCGGGTTTCAGTAGTTGTGGCTCGCGGGCTCTAGAGCACAGGCTCAGTAGTTACGGCGCACGGGCTTAGTTGCTCCACGGCATGTGGGATCTTCCTGGACCAGGGCTCAAACCCATGTCCCCTGCTTTGGCAGGCAGATTCTTATCCACTGCGCCACCAGGGAAGCCCGAGTGCTTGGTTTTTAAAAACACTATTTGGTTGTAAGGAATCCTGTTCTTTATATGTAGGATTGAACTAAGTAGGTCATTGGTTCACTAGAACATTTCCAGAGTGGCCCAGGTGGCACGTTAGGATAAGTGTTTATTTTGGTGGCATTCAGGATGATATGTTTTGCTCTGGAAAGCAGTGGGCACATGTGGCTTTTATCTGGAAGGAGCTGGGACTTTTTTTCAGTCTGGAGTGTTGGTGCAGGCAACTGAGAGGACTCTTTGCTTGGTGGCCGGTGCAGACGCTGAGCTGAGAGATTTGCTTTGGGCATCAGCAACTCTGAGAGGGTTGGTCCTGCGCTTTCACACTAGAGTTGCTGCCTTGTTCCATTTCACCTCCTCAGCCAGTAGGTCTGGTTCCTACCTCGAGACCTACCCTAGTTCCTACCCTGAGACATTTTGCCAAATAGGCCTGAGAGGAATGAGGTGAAAGACTGACTGGCTCCGTGCCAGCCCTTCCTCTACGGGAGACACAACTCAAAGCAACAGCTGTTCCCAGGAGTACGCCAGCAGTGCCTTTGCGTGGGAGGGGAGGGGTCTGCCTGTGTGCCCAGAGCTAAGGGAGTGAGTTAAAGGTTTCCCACACTGATAGCTTTGTGTCCTGAACAGTGTGGATTTCCCATCACGGACTACTATCAGGTAGGCATATCACAAAGATAATGCCTTGCGTTTATATTTTGCTTCAGAGTTTTCAAGCTTCATTAGACTATGCATTTAACTTACTCAAAGTCAACTATACATGTTGGGCATAAAAGGAAGAGAGAGGGAAACATAATTAAAACTGAATTTGTGATTCCACTTGCTATTCTCTTCAGTGGGCATGTACCCCAGAGTGAGTATGAGATGGCAGGGGGGGAATCTGCTGTCCCCTCAGCTGCCTCGGGGGCTGAAGGCCTCGGATTGTGAGTATCTCATCGCACTGAGGGTGATTCTGGTACTTCCGGTTCTGTACGTTAGGTAGACATGGCCTAGGCATGGCCAGTTCAACTGATGTTTTTACCAAAGAATCAGCATCTCTTCCCTCCCTGGAGGTTGTAGTGGGTTTATTGGGAGAGACGCATGCCAGGCTCCAGAGCAGCGTGTCAGCCTGGGCATGGCCTCTACTTCTAGGGTGATGTGAAGGCATGATTCTCAAGAGCAATCGTGGTCGTATGCAACTCCTACCCTAGCCTTTGATTTTAGAAAATACACTCTGTGGCAGCTATGACGCCACTCTATTTAAAAATGTTGAGAGAGCCCTGTAAAGTAGTCATGGCTGACGTTATGTATCTCCATTGCATAACAAGGTAAATTCCTCACCCGGAGTCATGCAGAGCCAGGACCTGGTTTCCAGTGCTTGCTCCATGGCTGTTCTTCCCAGACGGGGTTGGTTTTAGTCAGGGCACAAGGCAGGGCCACCACATGTGGTGGTGCAGGCTATACCCTGCATGGGGCCAACCAGAAACCAGTTTGCTTGCTAGGTCCTCAGTGCACCCTGGCCTAGAACTGCATCTGTGCTGAGGGAGGAACTTCTCTTTCTAATTTACACAAGGATGTCCAGTGGGCTGGCAGGGGTTTCGTCCAAGGCTAAGCCTGTACATAAAACATGAAGCAGAAATGGATGCAGATAGTGTTGGTTTCTTCCTAGGAACCTGTTCACTGTCCCCAACTCCTCCGAATCTACCCTCACCTGAGGAATTTAGAAACTTTAAATTATTTTTTAAGCCTGGGTATTTTACAGTTGCACCAAATTCTATGTTTTTGTTAATGGCTTTTTACTGACCAACTACAGGCATACCTCAGAGATATTGTAGGTTCGGTTCCACAAATTTTTTGGTTTTCCAGTGCATGTAAAAGTTGTTATAGTGGTATACTGTAAACATAACTGTCTATTAAGTGTGCAGTAGCATTATGTCTATAAAAAACAATGTGTATGCCTTAATTAAAATTAATTAATTTTTTGCTAAAAAATGCTAATCATCATATGAGCCTTCAGTGAGTTGTAATCTTTTTGCTGTAGAGGGTTTGAAATATTGTGAGAATTACCAAAATGTGACACAGAGATATGAAGTGAACAAATGCTGTTGGCAAAATGGTGCCAATAGACTTCCTCAATGCAGGGCTGCTACAGACCTTCAACTTGTTAAAAAATAAATGTGGTGTCTGTGAAGCGCAATAAAGCAAGGTCTGACTATACTCTGTCAGACACTAGGCTTGCTCCTAGGAACGCGGTCATGAAAAGACAGAGCCAGCCTCTGCTCCCACAGTGTTTGCAGCGGTCGGGGGCCACATCACAGTATAGAGCTGTGTTTTGATGGTGACACCACATGGGGTGTGTCCCTTCACCCTAACTTAGGAGGTCAGGGAAGGAAGTCTTCCTAGCAGGCAGGAAATTCATGCAGAAACTGAAGGATAGTGGGGAGTTAGGCAGAGAGAAGGGCTAAGAGTATCCCAGGCTGATGAAAGGCACGTGGAGAGGGCAATAGGGGAGAGCAGCACTGACATTTGCAGAAATGCAAAGCAGGGCTCCTCAGACTTTGACAGGATATATAACATCACCTGCAAATCAAAAAAAGTATATACTTGTATTCAGTAGGTCTGCAGAAGGACCCAAGATTCTGCTCCAGGTGATGCTAATGCCGCTGGTCCAAGAATCACACTCTGAGTAGCAAGGACAGAAAGCAGCTGCAGTGAAGGCTGACTTCCATGCCTACAGGGTGCGTCTATACCGGCCTGGATCCCCTGCACCCAGCACAGTGCCTGACCCAGAAGGTGTTCCACCTGAACTCATGGAGTAATTAAATAAATCTGTAAATGCATGTGGGTCACCAATGTAGCTGGAGAGGTTGAGAAGGGCCGATCACGCAGCCACGTTAAAGAGTTTAGAATTTGTCTTAAGAGCAGAGGTGGTAGGGACAGAGGGTGGTGTGAGAGGCGTTGAGTGGTTTTAAGCAGGGTTAAGTGTGTAATAATAAGATTTTCATTTCAGAACGATGACTCCATTTGAGAGTGGAGATGGAATGCATCGTAGGAGACCAGAGGTGGGAGACCCGTTAGGAATCACCATGGCGGCAAGATGATTGTGGCCTGCTGGGGGAGCGGTGGGGAAGAGGCAAGCTGAGAAGGAGAGGTGTCTGGGGAAATGGGAGGAGGCTGAGCCTAGGGACTTGCCAGTGGAGCCCACTGACTGGCAAGTGTCTAGCACACAGCCCAGCCCAGAGGAGGCGCTCGGCCCATGTTTGCTGAGTGACTTTGAAAGGAGCTTGACAGTTACCAAGAAACAGATGAGTGACCCAAGAGTATGTGATTTAGAGTGAGGGCTTCGGAGCCAAGGAGCAGTTCAGTGGGGCTGAACTGACTGGCTGGCCCCGGAGGAGCAGACTGAACAGAGATGGATGGGAGGAGAGAGAGGAGGAGGCAGGTTTGCTGCTACTTTCACAATTTGTAGTTCAATAGATTGAAACTTTCAGCATTTTAAAACAGTATGGAGTCCCGTGGGGGAAATGTCACCCCATTTGAGATTTTAAAATGTGAAATGTCATCATTTAAAGGAAGGTTTTTTTTCTTTCTTCTCTGATTTTTAAATGAATGCATTTTTACTATGGAGAACACGTATGAAGGCTTAAAGAAGAAAATCAATCACCCTAAAGACTCAAAGACTTGGAGAAATACCACCATCCTATTAACATTTTGGTGTTTTGTCTTGCATATGTTACATAGTTGAGACTTTGACATGTATGCAATTTGAAATTGTACATTTATTTAATTTTTTTATCGTAAAAAATATCCTTATCATTAAAATTCCCCATAAATATAATTTAGAAGGAATTTTATTAACACTTCCTTTATTGTTGCATATTTATGAGGCTCTAAATTTTCATGAATAAATATAATGTTGAGGTGAAGAT